AACGAAAGAGAAAATGATTGCTAAGATTGAAGTAGCATCTGATGGTTCTCTCAGCATGTAAGAAATAAAAAATTGAATATTCATAAAAGTTGTTGGAAAAGAAAGGCATGGACAGGTCCGAGGTCTTGGATTGGATCTAACACCATCTGCCTACTATGGACATAGCTCTCAGTAATTTACATCTTCAGTAAGTCAATTTTCGTGAGATATTTCAATATTAAAAGGGGAGTTGCAAACTATGCAACAATATTTTTAGCAAATGAAAACAGAAAGAGAACAAGAGCGTGCCAAAATTATGGAAGAACGTGCAAGAATGGAGTAAGAGCATGTAAAATTTCAGCAGTTACATAATCGATTTGATCATCTTATGAATTTTGTACAACAATAATTTTCAGAAAATGATCTTGGTGCTCCACCAACTCAAGTATTATATTTAGTAAATATTTAAATTTTTAAATATAAAAAAAGCTTATAATGAAGTGTTAAAAATTATATGGTATTATTCAGTAGGTTCTTGAGCACGCTAGTGACCAAAGTGAAAAATTTCCTTTATAAATTAGCAGCCAGCAAAATGTATGCAGTCATCTGTTTCATACATTTAAATTTTTATTTTCTTAATGTATTAAAAATATTTGAATGTTATTATACTAATTATTAAACTTTGTATTAATTATATACATATTTAAACGTGAATTAACTTTATATTAATTTCAGTTTTTGAATTTAAGCTCTTTAATGAAATTAAAAGTTATTAACAGAAATTAAAAAAATATATTTTTACATAATGACGGCGTTTGCGTTTAACAATGTCGTTAAATGAATAATTTAGTAGTGTTTGTATCGTAAAACGTCACTGAAAGTAACGACGCTTTTACCAGCAAACGCTGCTAGTAAATGACATTTTTTATACAAACGCCACCAAAGCAATGATGTTTTTTTTTAAAAAAAAATCACTAAATTAGCGGCGTTTCAAAGATACAAACGTCACTAATATAGAAGCATTTTCATTTACAAACGCTTCTAAAGTAACGGCAATATAAGTTACAAACATCACCAAAGCAATGGTATTTTCTCATAAAAATGTCACTAAATTAGTGACGTCTGAAAGATACAAACGCCGTTAATATAGATGTATTTTCAAATACAAAATGCCTCTAAAGTAGCAGCATTTTCAGTTGTAAACGTCACCAAAGCAACAATATTTTTCTAAAAAAAACACAACTAATTTAGCGACGTTTTAAAGATAGAAATACCGTTAAAATGACGGTATTTTTTTAAAAATGTCACTATTTTTCGCGATAAATGTATAACCGATGCTCTTAGTGACATTTTTCGCACACGTCACAAATCTTTTAGTGGTGCTTATAAACACTGTTAAATATTAAAAAAACGTTACTAAAAAACTAAATCCTTGTAGTGAATAACTTTAAAAAATTAAAAATAAAAAATCTAAATTTTAAAAAATTTTTAACAAATTAAAATATTCTAAAATTTTGAAATATTCTAAAAATTATAAAAAAATTAAATTTAAAAAAAAACATAATTTAAAAAAAATTAAAATTTTAATTAAAAAATTCATAAAATATATAAAAACATTAAAATTGTAAGATTCAAAAAAAAATGTTCATTATTTTTTTAAAAAAAATTTACAATTTTTTTTTAATTTTTAAACTTTTTCAAAAATTTTAGACTTATTTATTTTCAGTCTTTTTATGTTTTTGTGATTTTTTAATTATTGATTTTGACTTTCTAGTTTCATTGCCGTTTGGTAAGAAGGAAAGAGTGCGACAAAAAAAATTCTTTTCATCCTTTCTTTTGTTTAATAAGAAAGAAATAAGTTCATTCAAGTGCTTCTCATGTTACAAATCTAATTAAATGTGATTGTTGAGAATGTAATTATTAAGAATTAAATGGTTTGGAAGATAACATTACAATATTTTATATACAGAAGAAAGAAAGTGTTGAATAAAATCCTATGAAAATATTGTTTTATTTTCTTTTTGGTGGTAGAAATTCAAAATAAATAGATTATTAAGTACTTTATATCAAAATAAAATATATTATATCTGATAATTTAAAATAGATAATTACAAATCATACAATCATCGATATGATTCAAATCTAAAATCTCTTCGTAAAAAATATGATCATCTTTAACTAATTAAGTTAATTATTTATTGATAAATTATTTATTGATAATATTGTTTTACTTTTGCACATAAAAAATAACTTTTTTATCTCACATTACAATGTTATATCAACTATTAAGTCTTCTGATATTATCACATTATCTATTACATCAATTTTTAATGATGTCACGCAATCTATCGAATGATATAATAGTATCATATGATACTTGAGAGATGATATAATATTATCACATTAATACATTATTAGAAATTAATAATTGTGTTATAAAAAATAATTATTTAAATTTAAATGATTAAATAAAAATTTAATAATTAAAAAATCATTTTAAAAATATACATATAATTAAGAGATTAATACTGTATTTTTTAAGAGAATTAATTGCATCACGCAATTGTAACTTTCTTCACCATGGAAAATACTTATGCCGCTGTTTCTGTTACCTATGTTTTTCAATAATTGGTGATGAAACAGACTGTTTTTTTCTCCAAACCGTCAATCTAATCGAAGTAGAATAGGTGGGTCGTGTCCTCAGCTTTTGTCCCCCCACCCATCATCCCTTTCTCAATTTTCTAAAATCTTAATTGATATACAACTCAAGGCTTGAAGCAGAATTTTCCTTCGATGGACATTTCCATGTGATTCCATGGGGCCTCTGCCTTTAATGCAGCACTGCTATGTGATCATTTTAATAGACTAGTAGGCGGCCCACACTTTCGTTGCGGGTGAAAAAATCTCGGAGTATATAATACTTAAATAAAAAATATATTGATTTTAAATATAATTATGCAAATAATTTCAGTAATTTTAAAAAATAAAAATAATAAAATAATAAAACATTAAAAAATTAAAATTTAAGAAAGAAATCTGATATCCTGCAATAATAAAAAAAAATCTGATCTCTAATAATTTATATTTGGGGAAAATTTGACACAAATATTAAAAAATTGAAACTTAAGAAAGAAATTTGATCTCCTACAGCAATAAAATATGAAATCTTTCCTAAATTCTCAAATTAAAAAATGAATATCCTGTAGCAGTAAATAAAGTGGGCTGCAACAGATTTTATCACATAATTAGTTGCTATTATATTTAAGAAAGAATAAGCTTACCAAACTAAAATACAGGACTTTATACAACTTCAAATAATTTTAAGCACTTAGGCATGCCTTTCAACCACCAGTTTTCTTGGAAATCCCACTCAAAACAATATGCAACTCATGCATGTTCCAATGCATGATAAATTTTTGAAATTCGTCGATGAAGTAATGGTTCTATTCGGAATAATGGAATCCTGCCTTGACCTCTTTTTATTTCTCCTCTTCTTTGTTTCATTGGCACTGTTTTTAATCTCTGTATGCACAAAAAAAAAAAAAAAAACCCAGAAATTTTTTTTTTTAAATCTTGTCTTTTTAGCTTTGTTTATTCACTGCTTAAGAACAAACTCGTTTTCTATTTAGAAAACAAACTGAAAGTTATTAACCCATTATATTCCCCTCCTTTTTGTTTGCTTCGGCTCCCTTCGAATCAAAAGAAGCTCCGTAAATTTCGAAATTTTTTGGAAAAAATTTTTTGGGGTTGCATTTTGGAGTGGAAATATGGAGCAAAGAGCCGTTTTTCAGAGTTCTAAAATCGTGGTGAAACCTTAACTTTTTGGTTCTCATTTTGCGCAGGTTTTTTCATTAAAACTAGAGAGGGGAAAAATCCTGAAAAATCAACACAAAATTCGGTATACATAACAACCTCAGAATCTTTTGGGATTCTTTTTACATATATAGTATATAGATGTAACAAAAATACTTCTTTAAATTTAAGTAATTAAATAACAGAAAGTAATAATTATGTGATAAATTTAAAAATATGATCACAACTGAATGATCAATTATGAATTTTACTTTTTTTTAGGAGTAGTTGTTTTTGTTTTTCTCCCAGAGATCATTTCGTCCCAATGTAAATGTCAGTAATCTTTAGTTTCCCGTTTGTTTTCTTCTCTGGTAAGGAATTTGTTGAGGTATATATCTCAAACTTGTTGGAACTTCAAACTAAGAACCATCTGGTCAGAGGACCGATTCGAGTTAAATGCTCGAATGAAGGGTCGAACCGCAGGACAATTTTTAATCAACGGTAATTCCAAGTAAGCCTAGACAAGAGTATTGCTTATTCATTTTGGCCAACTGGGAGGAAGATTAGGCTCATCGAGCCTTCAATGCCATGGTCCCCAGGAAAATATATTATATCATGGACTTCATTACAACAGACGCATATAATGGAACACGTCTTAACAAGTATGTTTGTGTACTTCAAATTTTGGATAGAAAACCATATGATTTACGGTTGGCAAGGATCTCTTAACAGTTTTACCAGTCGCTATGGGCAGACATTTTTGTGTTGGCAGTGATGAAAAGAATTAAAACTCTTTTTAGCTTTTACATTTTTTTAGCAAATTTGAATAAAAAATAAAAAGTAAATAATAGAAATAATAGAAAATAAAATAAAAATATCAACCATCCTAAACCTTAAACCTTAAGCCAAATCGTTATCACCTCTACTTATGGTTATAGCCTATGGGCATTCGTTTCTAAGCAGGAGAAAAATAGCAAGAGGATCAGTATTTAAGACGGACTTATATAAAGTTAAAAAGGGCACTTTATCCTGTAAATAAAAGAGACAGGCTCAAGGACTAGGGGACTGGGAAAGCCATACCAAAGAAACATCCATTGGTCAAAACTCGAAACTCGGAACTTTCAAATTTTGATTTGAATGCCTATGGTTCGAATGCCTATGGGCAACCAAAGACCAAACGGACTACAACATCAACATGAACCAAAACGCGAATGACTAGGGACTGTAAATTTGCTCGAACAATGAAAGTTCAAGAGCCAATACACATTATGATCAGGGTGAACACAACCACTAACAAGTTACAAGAAAGCCATCTAGATACTAAGGCCGTTAATTGTAGAATTGCTTAATTTCAAGCATAAAATGCAGTTCACAGCTCTAAATATTATTAGGACATTGCGAATGGACTAAACCCAATTCGTGATTCCATTGAAAAACTGACACAGATCACTGTGTAACCAACCAATTAGGAAAGGTAAAATTCATGTCCACTTCTGCTAACAAAGCATGATATGGCATACAAATCATTTGAAAACGAATTTCAACAGCAGCAACTATACGATACTCAAAAACCTCAAGGAATGGTTCGCTGATACAGAGGCAAAGCTCCCAAGGCTTCACGCTCTGCTCTCTCCTTCTTCACCTACAAGACACAACAAAAAGGAATCTTAACACAAACTCCAACTCTATCCATTCATTCACATTAAATTTCAAGTCTAGCTTCTATCAAACACAAAACACATACTAGCTTAAAAATTCTAATACTTTATCATAAATAAAATGAAACATAAACACAAAATGTGTCAGCAAGATATGATTGATAAACAATGACATGTACATGTAACAAGTAGTACCAGCAAAGTGAAGTAGAAGTTTTCAACCATATAAACTTCCCCTTGATTGGTAAATATTGCAACAATCCAATTATATAAACTTCCTCCCACACCAGCTAATGAAGCAAAACAGAATTTAATAACTAAGAATCTAGCATTTTGACATGGAAATGAACAACCAGAACCATCCATCTTAAGTGTTAGAACAACTTCAGATAAAGCTGGTAACCCAAGATTTGAATTGGTCAAAATCTGAATTTGGTCCCTTTATTCCCTTTATCCCAATTTTAAAGAATTATCCTCATACTTTTATCAAAAGCTGATTTAAAAGCAATTGATAACAGTGTTAAAATTTTGGCATTAATTTAGCCACGTGGTCTTTAAGGGTTTAGCAAAGTCATAGGGTTATAAAATTTTAACATTGTTATTGGTTGCCCTTAAATCAACATAGAATACAAGTGTAAGAATTAAATAAATTAAAATTGAAGCAGAGGGACTAAAATTGCCCAATTGTAACAATAAAAGAACCAAGTTCAAACTTTGACCATTACAATTGCTGAGATCCTAGGGGAGTAAAATACAGAGATTGTGGTGAAATCTTCTTAAATCCAATAACTAAATGGACAATTCAATCCAATACAATCATTCCTGGACAACTTTCCACTATAAAATAGTGGGGTATATCGGAATTAAATCTAAAATATAAACATAAGGATTACGGGTAGTATGAGCAGGAAAAAGACTACTATAAATGCAGTAAAAGCAGTAATTCCCTGCTTAGATAGAAAAAAAAAAAAAAAAAAGAAATATTTATCGATTATTTTTTGAGAACATACCAAGTAATAACAAAAAGGGTAAAATACATAAATACTCACCCAATTATGGGGATTGTTTTAAAATGATCACTTAAGTATTAATTTTTTTCAATTTAGTCACTTAAGGAATAAGTGTATTTTTTGTCACTCAACCATTAGCGTCTAATGGCATGCTAATGAGGAAGTTGTTAGATGCCAAATGGCACAAACACGTCATCTTATAAGTCATATGACATTATAAATTTTGAAAATAAATAAATTTTGATCACTTAACTTTTTGTGAATTTTCATTTTGATCACTCAACTTTGAAAATTTATAATTTAATCACTAACAAATATGTCTTCAAATTTTATAAATATATATATATATATATATATAAGCATTTGATATTTTTATTGAATGAAATTAAATTATAATTTTTTTATTTTATTGTAATTATATCATTTAAATTTAAAAAATGGGTGAATATTATCTAATTGCCAAAATTACTAAAATAGAGTTACTTCAAATCTTTGTGATTCAATCCATCCATGTAAACATAAATTCAAGTCAGTATTTTATATTTCATAATGTCAAGATTCTAATTATAATAAAAATTCATAAATTTAATTTCATGTAATAAAATATTAAAAGAAATATAGATAACATGAATTTGTTGCATTTAGAACCTTGACATTATGAAATATGAAATTTATTAATATTTTGGTCACTAACGTGTGTGAAATTTAATAATATTTTGGTCTCCATTGTCAATGACTCATTGTTACCGTAAACTATTAATGAGTTGATCACCAATATTTATGAAATTTAATATAATAAATTATTTTATTTTATTATTTATGTTACCTATTAAAATATGTTAGAATAATACTCAAACAAGTCATTGAATTATATAAAAATAGAAATAAACATTCAATAATTTTCTTGCATGCTATGAAATTTTATTTAATTATAATTATACCATTTAAATATGAAAAATAGATGAATATTAATCAATTGCCAAAATTACTAAAATATATTACTTCAAATATTTGTCATTAAGTAAATCCAAATAAATTCAAGTAACTTTTTTAAAATTTTTACATTTTGGTCATCAATGTTTGTGAAATTATTAATGTTTGGATGTCACCCTTAATGTAAGTTTATAACGATTTAATCACTAACACTTAGTGAAATTTAATATTAAATTAATTTATTTTCTTATTTATATTTCCTTTAATATTTTACTACGTGAAACTAAAATTAAATTTTGACATTATGAAATATGAAATACTTACTTGAGTTTAATTGGATTAGCTTAATGACAAATATTTGAAGTAAAATTATTTTAGTAATTTTTGTAAGTGGATAATATTCATCCATTTTTCAAATTTAAATGGTATAATTACAATAAAAATAAAAATTTATAACTTTATTCTATGCAATGAAATATCAAATACTTATTTCTATTTTTTATAAAATTTTAAAACTTATTTGTTAGTAACCAAATTGTAAATTTTTAAAGTTGAGTAACCATAATAGAAATTTTTAAAAAATTAAGTGACTGAAATTTATTTATTTTTTTTCAAAACTTATAATGCCATGTCAGCAATGCCACTTGGCTTGTCAGATGATATCGTAAAGCTAAATGGCACCTGACAACTGATGGCATTGCCACGTCAACACACCGTTAGACATGTCAACACATTGTTAGACACGTCAACACATTGTTAGACACGTCAACTCATTGTTAGACACGTCAACACACTGTTAGACACGTCAACACACTGTTAGACACTAACGGCTGAGTGACAAAAAAAAAAAAAACTTATTCAAACTTAGGTAACTAAATTGAAAAATTAATACTTAAGTGACCATTTTAAAACGACCTCTAAAGTTGGGTGACTATTTATGTATTTTACCTAACAAAAATCATTCTACATATATAGATTGAAACATAATAATTACTACACCAGTCACATGTCACTCCAACTCTCAGCTTCTCTAAAGTACCCATATATGATACACATTTGAACCCCCAAAGTAGGTATGGATATGACTGTATGACTTTCATATCAGGTAAACTTAGACTAAATTGAACAAACCTGTGTCGAACACACACAGATGTCCAAATTCCATTAAGCAAACAAAGCCGAAAAATGAAAAATGAAATCCAAGTCAATTAATGAACAGAGCTTTACTATTTAAAAACTTACAAGAGCAAGCATATATTGAAGATAGCTCCTAAATGGTGTCTGCATTTTCTGAAAAGGAACAATAGAATCCAAAAAATTATGAGACCTCAAAGTACAGTCATGAAGTGAAGACACATGTTCACATCATAAACACTGATTAGCTAATGCTATTTTTTCTTGATGCCATTTCTTCTTATAAAATGAAAAGAGTGGCAAGAATACATGGGTTATACTTATAAACATGATCAAAGATAGAAATAGATGTTAAGAGAATTAGACTTTGCTTAATCATATTGACACAAATTCCGCAATTAGTTCTTCACTCTGCATCCATTTTGTTTAATAGCCTTAGAGAGATTGTGATTAGACTCTGCTCCTTCCATTATAATAATTCAGAATAATTTATGCTTCTGTATCCAATGATGTTACCGATTGATTTAGGAAGCAAACTAAGTACTAACTATAGCAACAAATCATAGAAAAGAAATCAAGAGAATTATTCTAGATTAGTTACTTATATCCCAATACAAGACAACCATAAATAAAATATCATGTATAATTTTTTAATTAAAAAATGCTTAAACATCAACAGCGCTTGCATTTAAAGGTCATGCGATTCATAATAGGATTCATTCGAGGTTTCAAACATTTAATAGCTAAATGTTATTCAAAAATTACGAAAAGCAAAGAACAAAATCCCCCGAATTAACTCAAATAAGATCATCCAAAATCTTAACTGAAAAATAAAAAAAAAAAAGAAAGAGAAAAGGGGAAACCTGAAGATGTTCGGGGAGATACTCGTGCTTCATGGAGAGGTCCATTGCACGCTTAAGGCGTTGGTTACGGGCATCGACGATCTCACGGGGCAGCCGATTCAACGCCTCCTTGATATCCAGGTCGTAGTAAGGATCGTATAGATCGTCGTAGCGAAGGCCTAAACAGATTCTCCAATAAGTTTAATCCAAATTAAAAATAAATAAATAAAGGGTTAGGGTTTTGGGGAAAAGCGTACCGTATTTGGAGAGGCGTTTGGAGAGGGATTTCATGTGTAGAGCTGCCAACCAGTTCTTCTTCGGATCCAGAAATGACTGCAAAAACGACGACATTTTTGCTACTCTCTGTTTCTCCACCTGAGAGCCTCCTCCTTTATATTTTGTTTTCTGGCAGAACGGTTTGTGCGGCAATATATCGACACTAGAATAGGTCTCCTGAGTTAGAATGGTATGATATATGACGATATCTCATGAGATATTGAACAATAATAAAACAAGTTCTGCCTCAAAAATAATAAAACAAGTTAACAGGGAAATTAAAAATAATTAATATAATTGAATTTTATATATTAAATCAATTATTATATTTAATAATAAAATATTATCATAAATAACAACTTGATTACCACTAAAAAAATATCAATGGTACTTTTTAACAAAATCATATATAATTTTATTTGTTGCAGTCATCTTAAAAAAAAGATCAACTTTTATAAATGTAAAATTAAAAATGTGTTACACATTTTTATAATTATTGATTTCAATAAATTTAAGAGATAAAATTAAATTATTTTTTTATTTGTCTCTTTCATCTTTTAATCTATTTAAATTAATGATTAAAAAAAATACACTGATATAAATTGATTCCTAAATAGAAATAAATTAATTTTGACATCTTTTACAAATAAAAATATTAAAAATAAAATTTACCATTTATAAAAAGTTGAAAGAAACAAATTAATATTAACATCTTGAATGTCTCGTTAATGTACAATTTTATGCCATTATCATTGTTCATGTAAAGTTTCAATAAAATTAAGCTATGATATTTTAAAAATCAAATTATTTTTTAAAAATAATTATTATTATAATTGAGAATTATCATCAATTATCAATTATTCTACCTTTCTTTAGTGGTTTTTTTGCACTAACTTGAATTTTTTGCAAGAGATTCTTGCAAAAAAGTTCGTTTGCTATATGTTTGCCAACAACATATAGGTGCATTGGTTGGGGTGTTTTGTGGTAAAAAATTCAACTTTTGGTTGATATTGTCATTGTGAGGTAGTTGGATGTTACAGTTCACACAAACTTGTGAGATATTATTTATTTTGATTAATTAAGCTTTATTGTTTCGTCTTACAAAAAATACTTCACAAGTTGAAGGAGCTGAGAACACTTATATTCAAGATCGATTCTAGCACACAGTTGACACGAGATTCATGACTCTCTTAGGACTATGGCATCTTTTCTCACTCCAACGAGGGCTTACCATCTTCTGTAGCACATTACCAATACTCCCATAATCAATTCTGATACCAAATATTATGATCCATACTAACTTGTCAAGTATTGTCCACTTCGATTTATTGAGTTTTATGGTTTTGTCTCACAAAATGTGTCTTATAATTAAAAGTAATGTGAACACTTATATCTTATGATCGATTTTAATACACAATCAATATGAGATTCATGACTCCTCTCTAAGGCCATGACACTAGGAATGTGCCTACAAATGGGGTGGTGGACATAATGTTAGAGAATTGCATGGAATTATGGATGATAAAGTTTTGAAGGACTATGATAATGAAGTATTTGGTTATCTTGGTGCAGTAAGTCATCAATATCTTGTAAGGCTACTTTTATAAAAGCCTTTTGATATCTCTTGAAATTGGGCTAACAAATATGGTCTAAGAGGAATCAAATGGTTTTGTGGGCGAGAAAACCACTTGAATGTTTTGGAAAATGAGGTAGACACTTTAGGGCATTGTTGCAATTAACAACCATTTTTTGCTAGATTAATTTTTGCAAAAGCTTCTAGAATTTTAGTGGCACCAGAAGATTCACATCCTAGTTTCCATTTCTTCTTAATCTTTAAATCATCACAATCAAACAATATGTGTACATGATTCATGTTTGATCATTTTGGAAGTTTAGACTACATCCAGCATCCTGGTCTTATTCTTCAGCGATTTGACTGGCATTGGTAGAACCATTCTATTCATCTAAGTTGCTACAACAACTGTGTGAACATTGCCCTAAACAATTTTTCTATGAATTTTCTAAAAACCATCAACGGCATTTAAGCATACTATCTTTGATGAGAAGTTGTATTTTGGCATTGCAAGAGTAGGAAAGAAATTGTTACCTTAGATTCATGTTAGACAAAAAAAAAAAAAAAGTAACTACAAATTATACATGACATGAAATTAGCAAAGCATAGAAGTCGAGGAGTTTTTTCAACATGCTCTGAGCACCAAAATTTGTCGACACAAAATAGAAAAAGATTGACACATTAATTCATTGCATGTATTGTAAAACCATCCATATGTCAAGTCAACATGAATAATCTTCTCTTTGATATTGAAAATGGTATTATGAAAAATGAATAGATCAATGTTACAAGCAATGTAATAAAATAGCAGTTCGATTTCTTTTCATGCTTGGGATAAAAAAGTGTTATTGGGTTTACTTATTTGTTTGTTGGTTCAACACCAAGCAATGATGTGACTATTGAATTTTGCTTTGGTTTTTTCTGATAAGTATTCTAAATAGGATGATTTTCCCATTGTTAAAGTTGTACTTACATTGGATCAGCTTTGTAACTAAGTAAACATGTGTAATTGGGGAATTAATGTTAGAAATAAACTGATGTATATTTTAAAAAATGAAATCGATAGGAATGTGTCATTGCCATTGTCATAACGATTTTCGAGTTTGCAAGATGAATTTGAAAACAAAAAAAAGTTACCACCAATCTTTTTTGACTAGATGCGATTGACTACCTATTAAAACTTATCATTTTAATAAAAATTTAAAATTAATTAAAACTTATTAAAAAGATAATTTTTTTAGGTCTACGAGAATAGTTTGAGTTCAAGAATTGGTTAAACATAGGAAAGGACTAGCATCCACATGGCATTTATTTAGAATTATACTAATTATGCATTATCATTTAATCTTAACTAAAAAAGTCTTAATTTTTTATTTAAATTAAGTTTTTTAATTTTCTTTAATGTAGTAAAAAAACATATTTTTATTTTTATTTTTTATCTTGGTTGGAAAAAATAAATAAGAACCTTGTTTATTGAAAAATTTCCTAAAAATATTCCAATACTTTGGTAATATCAAAATGAACTTTCTCACCTAAGAATCCTTAAAAATCACTACTTGAAATTCTAAAAAAATTTATCATCGGTGGTTCATATTTATTTCAATATTATATTTAATAAGCAGATTGCAAAATACGATATTTATAACTTAAAATCAAATAATGTTTTCTAAAAAATTCATTTCTTATACTAAAATGAAAAATCGTTATAAAAAATTATTCTAAATAGCCTAATACATTGGTAGTATTTTAAATAAATTTTCTTACCTAAAATTTCTAAAGAATTACTATTTGGATTTCTTTTGGATATCATTTTGAAGATTTTTCTTTTCCTTTTTTAATAATTATTAAATTTAAAATTTATATAATAATATAATTATTTATAAATTTATTTCCTCAAAAAATGCATACTATTATAAATAATTTATATTTTTTTAATCTTTTTTTAAGAAAAATTGTTCAAATTAAAGAAAAATAAAGATCTTTGTATTAAAAAGAGTTTATAAATATTCCAATATTTTGATAATTTTAAGAAGTCTTTTCTTATTTAGGAAATTCTTAGAGATTACTACTCGACTTCTCGGAATCCCATTACTAGAGATTTCATTTACTTTTATAATTGATATATGCAAAATAAGATGCACATGAATTAATTTGTGATATTATTACATTATATAAAAATTTGTTTTTAGAAGTGAAGAGTAAATGAGAATTTTTCATATTGATAATCATTTTAAATATTTCAATTCTTTGGTAATATTTTTAGAAAAATTCTCTTTCTTAATAAATTTTTGGGAATCACTACTCGAACTTTCAGAATCCCATCATTAGAAATTTTCATTACTTTCAAGATTATGCAATGCCAATGATAAGGTGCAATCTGTATACAAAAGTTTTTTTTTTAATATTTGTATCCTTTTCTTTTAAATTTTATTTTATTATATTTTTATTACATATTATATATATAATTTTAAAAAATTGCCTATCTTCCTTATTATGTTTCTTCATTACTCATTGTAATTTTTATTTCAATCACCTAATTATTTCTCCATTATTATTAAAATTTTTTGAAAGAAACAAAGTAAAAAAATCTTTTTATTAAAAATTTTTCTAAACACCTCGATACTTTGGCGATATTTTTTAAAAAATTTTATCACATAAAATTTTTTTAAAAATCTCTTACTTAGACTTCCTTAGAATCCTGTTCTCGAAGATTTCATTTACTTTCTTATTTTCTTATTTAATTTTATTTAATTCTTAATTTTAATTCTAATTTTTAGTTTTGATTATTATTTTATTTATTATTATTTATATTTTTTTATTATTTTTTATGAATTAAATTTTTTGAAAGGTAAAATTGTTAATCATAATATTCATGTATCGTTATACTAATTTAATTACTAAAAGAGTCATTATAATATTTTATCATCATCTAATATAATTTTAGGAAAATAGATGAATGAAAATCTTTTGTATTGAATATTTTCTTAAATACTCTATTACTTTGGTAATATTTTTTTTTATAAAAATGTTTTCACCTAGAGATTTTAAAACATTATTACTCAAACTTCCTTAAAATCTCATTTAAGAGATTTTCGTTATTATTATTATTATTATTATTATTATTATTATTATTATTATTATCATTCCTTATCTTTTTTTTTTTCTACATGAAACTAGAGTGCAAATAAACTAAATTGCTTCAAATAATAATAATAATAATAATTTATGGCATGAAAGATTAAATTACATGAAGTCAAATTAAGCATAAAAATTTAAACATCAAAAGGATTATAATGCATGATTATAATGGATAAGATTTAGATTTTAATCAAACTTAAATAGTATAAAATAAATGTGCATGGGATATATATGAAAGACAAATGTAATAACCCATATCAAGCCTATTATCTATTAACAACATATATTAAACTTAAAGCCAAAACAAATGGATGGTAGGGCCTGTAGGAACAATTGCTTATTTTAAAATTTTATAAACAACCACTGTTCCAGGAGAGATAAGCATGAAAAGTCTCAACTTTTTCCAATGAACAAGCAACCAAATTAAAAAAATAAAAA